CACGCATTTAGGTGAGGTATTTGAAACGTTTGTACAACTTCAACTATTCAAATTTTCTGGTAAAAAAAAAATGTTTGAAGCAAATTGAATTTAGTTAGTACTTTCGGGAGATCGAAATTGAAAATTCTCAGTACTTTTTAAAATAATTGGAAAATCCGAAACACATAACTAACTAAATAAAAAAATATAAAAATTGTTTGTAACGTAGGTTAAACCGTATCATCGCTTAGATTGTATTTTATTAATTTTCTGAAAATGTCAATAAAAAAATATTTGTTTGATTAAAAAAACATAAAAATATAATACAAGATTCATCGTAAGTTTTATTATATCTATTTTAAAATATTGATGATATAATATAGGTGCGATTATTTTTTTAATTTAAAACATTTAAAGTTCACATTTTGACAAAACCTCAATTAATTTGTAGTCCAAAATGTATAAAATAATAAATTTGTATTGCTAAAGCTTGGAAATTTACTATAAGGTCATTTATACAAGCAGTTCATACTTTTACCAAATAATTAGTAATCATTTTGGCAAAATTATAGTTTGTTAATAAAATGTTTTTGCAAAAATGAATTTATTCCAGTAAGACGTATATGAATTTATGTCTTTCTTACTAGTTGACGATAGATGAAACTCGATAAAAATTTAAAAAATAAAAAAAATAGTACTATTATGGTCAAGAGAGGGGGCTATAGCCCGTTAGCCTCCCCATTGCGTACGCTACTGGGAGAAATACATGACTTGCGGGTGATACTTCGTGTCGTAGTCCGTTCCGAGACTCGATCGTATAAATAAAAACAAAATTATAATTATAGCTATAGCCTATAACGAATAACGACTAATTAACGACGACAAAAATAAACGGTGATTTAAAATATTTTTTGTCTTTATGCGATATCAACGCGGTCTTGTCCAATAAATAAAACATGTCACTGAACTCCGCAGCCGATTAGCTGTCGAGAAGTTTCGCGATAACGGTCTATTGTTCTGTAATGATGACGAACAGTTCGACGTTGATGGCCTCCAAAGAAAATTTCTTTTCGATAAGTAACAATTGTAAATAAATTATAAAATTCAGTTAAGGCATTTTAAAATTATAAAAATATGTAAAATGTAATAATATTGTCTACATAATATTATTTAAGTGCAGTTAAACCTCGATTAACCATCTTAAATAGGACTAAAAAAATGCATTTTTAAATTTATAATTATAATAGGTATCTATTATATATAATATATATATATATATATATATATATATTTTTAAGCTAGAAAATTGTTGATCTGTAAAGTAATAATTTAAAATAAGTACAAACTATCAAATAATTAGCATGAAAGAAACAAAATAATATGGATAATGTAATAAACAATAAGTTTAGTTAAACATAATTATTTACATCAATTCAGACAGGGGGCTTGAGTAAAGACACTATTCATTGCTTCGTGAACACCTATATTAATTTTATTATATTACATATTACTATATCAGTTAGTTATAAATACATGTTTGTCTATAATATGATTTTGCAAATTTGGAATATTCTATTTATAAATCGTGATATTATTATGATGATAGGTAGTGCATAACAGAAGTTTATAGTCTTATAGATGAGGGAGTGGCGAATAATAGAAGTTTTACTTTATATGATAAACAAATAACAGTTGAGCATAATAGTATATTCTGCTAGTTTTTTTTTTTTTACTTAAGAAATCATAGTTTATCATTTAATTGATGTAGTGCAAGGTGCAACGAAATGATAAATACAAATTATTACTTATTGCTGTCGTGCACTTTTAAATACATAAATCACTGCTTATTACAAATACTTTCGACACAACTATATTGATTTTATATCGATTTAAAAGATATTTGAAACTATTTAATAGCTTAGGAAGTTAGGAAATATAAAAAAACTTTCTTATATTGTTCAGAATATAAAAAGTAAAATTAATTGTAAGTTATAGAACTTATAACATCTTATGAGCTTAATTTTGATGTGATTATGTAGTAACATCAGAGAATTAAAATTAAATTGAACAGGCAGACAATTTTTTTTTAAATCCAATCAGCATAAATTAATATCATAAATATTTTTGACTTTTTTACCGTACTTTACAGAATCAAGCAGATAATAATATTATTTAAATATTAAACTATTTATTCAACTTAGTCAAATGAAATATTAATATTGTATCGCTGTTGTCAGTTAGACTACACAACTTTTTGTTTCAAGTCGTTCTTTAATATTAATTTATCTTTGATATGAAATTATGCTAATTAATCACTAAACATTTTTATTTTATACGGTTGATAAACCGACGAATTTCAGTACAAACAATGAATAAAATGTAATTATGATATTCTAGACGTTGATAACTGTTATCTATACAATAATTAGACAAAAATAATATAATATACACGAAAAATATTATGCTATTACTTATCATATCAAATTATAAGTAAACGTTATCTTGGTTGTAATTTTATACTTTACTGGAAATCCCGAAAAAATAACGCAAAATATTTAAAAATTAAAAAAGATTTAACAATTATAAAACGTTGGTATAATGTATACATACTGTTTAATTAAAATACAACGCTTACAATGCAATCAATTTATAAGTGGAAATAAATAGGAATATTTTTTATGTTTGCACATTCTGTTGAAACTTGCAATTTAGTTATAATTAAGTTTATCATGAACATTTAGATGATTTGCACGTGTTAATTATTTTTTAAATAAGACACAAAAATCATAAGAATGTAACATTATCATGAGTACTTGAAAAAGTATTGAAACAAACGAAATTCACGCAGGCAAATAATGTACAATAATAATATATAAGTATATTATGTATAATGACTAAAAATACAATATTGATTCTTACGATGTATATAAATAACTTTTTATGACATTGGACATTTAACAATATCTATTATCGTATATATTACTAACCATATTCATAATTATTATATTATTATTTATTGTACAATTGAATGTTAACAATGTATTCTCATGTTTATAAATTATATAAGGTAAAATATACGAAAGAATGAGCTCCGATTTCAAAGTGTTTCATAATAATGATGATAAAATTATAATTCAGTGTCAACAATCATCTTTAAATTTAATAACGGTTATTGAATCAAATGTAAAATATTAAGATATTGTTGTTTGCAGAACACCCATTCATAGGTACCATTTTTACAGTTGATAATTTTAAAGTGATATTTACTTATGAATTATTTTACAGCACACAGATATATTGGTAATTTTTGAGACATATAAAATTAACTTTAAGATTTAAATGACAACTCAAATAATATTCCATGTTACAAAAGTAGAATACTCGTCATCCCCTTTCTTATCATCATTTAAAAAATTATTACTATTTAATAGTAAAATTAATTCACTGAGAAAAATAGTCGCATTTTTATCGGGAAATTCAATACTAATACCAGTTGCGTAATTACAAGAGAAATTATGGATACGTATCCTCTCATGGTCTTTTTTATTACATCACACTAATTTTTTTATTATAACAATATAACTACCAACTATAGTATTATAAATTAATAATTTTTTTTTTTTTTTTTTTTTTATTGAAACCTTAGTTATACAAAATTAATAATTTATAGAAGAAAAAAAACAGAATTCTAAATTTTTGCTGTTTGATAATTAATAAATAATTTTTTATTATTAGTTATGCATTCAGACAATACTCGTATAATCACTTCAAAATATAGGCTATTTTTAACAAAAATAAATATAATATAGCACATAATGTTTAAATATTCTAAATAATAATATAATATAATTATAAATTATAAGTTCAGTAATAAAGTAGTTGTAAAACTAGAACACAACACCACTGTCTACTGTGAACGTACAATAACAATACTGTGGTCTCTGTGGCACCACTACCATCACAAATTATTATGCTAGTATTATCGTTAAACTGTTATCAATTATCACTTATTAAATTCTTATAATCGGTTTTAATCATTTAATGTTTTGCTCGCTAAATTTCAAATGATGATATTTATATGTAATATCCTTACAGACTACAATACTAGTACACCATTCATTTTACTTCTAATATGAAAAAATTAAACAGAAATCTAATAATTGAAATGATTTTGAAAGAATCAAATAGTGATGGTGGAGCGATTTCGAAATGTGTGTATAGTAGTATAAGACTAAAGGCACTAAATGGTCATTTAGTCCTAAGCTAAGAGTTTACTGATTTGAGACAATTTTTTATTTGTTGGGATTAAATCCATATTCTAAGTGATGGAGGTAATACACGATTTATAATTTCATGAGAAAAATAGATTGCTAGCAATTAGTCAAATGTTAATCAAAATAACTTTTGATAATTATTAATTTAGAATAATACGTTTCCGTTTATTTTCTAACACTAAAGAATTTTTATTGGTGGCTAATGGGTTTATTATTATAACAATGGTTAATTGACAAGAGAGTTTGGAAATTCCTTCATCAATAGCTTGATGAATTATTTAAAACTTATAAATATATAGTATGTTCTAGTCTAAATTACTTTTTTTTTTTTTTATTTAATTCTTTATTAGAGAAACAAAATAAGTGATATTGTAGCTAATACGAATATCAAAATTATCAAACGACTTAATAAACATTAAAAATTAAAAAAATATTTTAGGTTAAAATATATTATACATTTACACGTCTTTAATGATTCTCTCAGTAATTAATGGTAGTTATTTATAGTCACTTGGGCCCAGTGGCGTAGCCAGGATTTTGCAAGGGGGGGGTTTAAGCGTAAATTAAACAGTTTTCGTTAGGTTTGTTTCACAATTGAAATTTGAACTATTCAAGAACAAAATTCAGTTGTGAACTAGTGATTATACAATATTATAAATTATAATAATAATACCTCAATATGAAAATGAATTATTTTTTATTTATACATATAATTAATTAATTAAAACTATCATATTTATTATTTATTTACAATAAACGTATTTTTCTCGTTTTTGAGGCTAATATATTCAAAATGTCTTCCGGCTGTAATACTATTTCTCTATAAATATTTAAAAGTGCTAAACCGTTTAATCTATTTTCGCAAGTTGTGTTCCGCAAATAAGTCTTTAATCGTTTCAATGTAGAAAAAGACCTTTCACTACTGGCAGTAGTGACTGGAAGGGTAGCTAAGATTTGAAGTAATTTAAAAGTTGATGGGAAAATTGTTTCATTACATTCTTGAAGAGCGTCAAGTGCATTTTTTGGAAAAACTTGTGTCTGGACAAATTTTTGTTGCCAAGTTCTTATTTCTCCGACTGCAGCTAATTTATTGCAGTTCAAATCATCTTGGTACATTTCAATTAGTTGTTTTATATTTTCTTCTTCAAATTTTCCATTTAAGGAAGGTAGAAGACAAGTAAAATTTTTAAGCATAGTTTTATGAGATAAAAATCGCTCATTTAGTTCATTTATAAAACTATCAATAAATGGAATAAATATAGAAATCCTAAAGTAATCTTCAGGAGAATTTTCTTGTACATTGCAACGATTTTTTTGAACATTTGTTCTACGGGGCAAAGAAATTTCAATATTTAATGCATCACATTTAGTTTTAACTTCATCAAATATACTTTTAAATTCACTTTCTGCATTTTTTCTTATATTTTCAATAATACATTTAACACTATCCGCATTCTCAATAGCATCAATCAGATCTATATTTTTAGTTTGGAGATGTTTACTTAGTGGCAAGCTTATACCAAATATTTTTGCTAATACAAATGTTGCTAGTATAAATTCTGGCTGTTTAATAGAGCATAATAACTGATATGCTCCTGATGATGAATCCTTATCAAACCAAGAACATACTTTTGTTAGGCCGTCAATAATAGCATCAAATAAATCAAGAAAAATAATTATAGAATCATGACGGTCCACCCATCTAGTAGGACAAAGTAATTTTAAACGTTTAGCATTTGAAGAAGGACATATAGAAGATATTGATTCTGTTAAGACATTATTTCTTTTGGGATATTTAAAGAAGACACAAATTTTCTGAATAGTTCCTGTGCAGTTCCTAATGGACTGAACATTACAAGCATCCGAAATCGCCAAATTTAAACTATGGGAGCTACAATGAATATAATGAGCAAGAGGGTAATTTTTGGTTACATGAGCTTGGACACCATTAAAGTGCCCACTCATAGCGGCAGCACCATCATATCCCTGACCACGTAGATACTTCAACTCAAGCCCTAATTCTTTTAAGTTATCCAAAAGAGAAGTTGCTAATCCTATTCCGGTAACATCATGAACAGGAACGAATTTTAAAAAATCTTCTCTCATCTCTTTTTTCAACATGTCTAAATATCGAACACATAACGAGAACTGTTCAATTCCAGAAATATCTGTTGTTTCATCAGCCAATACTGTGAAACATTTTGCACTATTAATTCTAGAAACGAGTTGTTCGATGATCATACTAGAACATGTATTAATTATTTCATTTTGAATTTCTGGACTAAGGTATGTCGCATTACGTGGAGCTGTCTCTAAATGATTGGCTAAATTTTTATCACCAGCTTCAACTTTAAATCTTAACAATTCTCTAAAATTACCTTCATTATAAATTTGAGAATTTTGTAAACTTATGGGTCCTGAATCATTATGGCCTCTCAAAGCCAGGCCTTGACGTCCACAAAAAATAATTGTTTCAATAATTGGAATTATTTTTTTACGGTTTTCTTGTATTTCAATTTTTAACTTATTATTTAACTGGACATCAATAGATTCCTTACTTTTATTGTACACGGATAATAAATTATCAGCATCTAACATTGAATTATTATGATATTTTGTACCTTCATGTTTGTTAAATTCCTCAATTGCTTTTTTCCAATTAGAAAATTTTTCTAAAACGAGTTTGCCTAACTTTTGATTACCACGACCACCTTCGTTTCTTTTAAAAAGAACACAAAACTTGCAAAATGCACCATCAAGCAATTTTGAATATGTTAACCAAGACCATTTTCTTAACCAGTTAAGTTGAAATTTCAATTTTCGATTCCCAGTTATGGGAAATTTAAAAGTATGATCTGGTTCCCAAATTTTTAAAAGAAGTTCAGCTCGTTTATTTGAGTCAATCTATAATTGAAATATTAATTTTAACTCAACTAACTACTTAAAACAAAAGTTGTAAAAATAATGCAAAACCAAATAAACAAAATATAACTAAAATTAAATCAAATCCAAAGCTTAAATGCAATTATCTAGCTGCATTGTAAATGTTATTATTTATTTATACCAAAAGCAGTCTACAACTAATTGTATAAACCTTTTCTAACAAATTAATTTCATGCATAATATAAGTTTAATTATAAAATTATATTTACCCAGTACTTACTATTGTCTATTGATGTAAATTTATATTTTATTAATTGTATATATTCTATATTATTATTATTATTATAATTATTAATACCTATTGGACATTAGTACACACAAACAATATTAACACAGGTCACAGACACAAATGATACAAATAGATAATAATTATAGTCTATAGATATAGTAAAAACAATCATAATAACATAATGTAAAAATTAACAGGTTTCTTGTTCCACACAGAATCTAAAATCTAAACATAAATACATATATTATACATGTATAAATTATAAACACAGAATATTTATTATTATTTAATATTATTATTATTATAATATAATAATAATATAATATAATATTATAATAAAAAAAAAAAATAATAAAATAATAATAAAAAATAAAAAAATAATTAAAATAATAATAATTTTTTTTATTATTATTTATTATTTTTTATTTATTCTGTGTTATAAACATCAAATAATCTATAACCACATAAAAACATATTTAAATAATTTTTCATGCAAACCTTTTCTAACTGCTGGATGAGTAATCCAATATCCATGGAATCAGTAGTATCAGTATGACCGCTGTTATCAGAACTTTTTAAATTTAGGGCATTCTTACTCTGTTAAAAAAATATATATTTTTAATTACACTAATATAATCATTAATTCAACTAATATAATATAATAATTACTTACAGTTTTAGCAATTTTAGTGATTACATCTTCATCGTCTTCCACAGAACGTTTAATCACAGAATTCTGTGGTTTAATTTTGTTTTTATCAGTGTTAGTCTAAAATATAATAACCAACATATTTACAATTTCATGTTACTTTCCTATATGGACTATATTATTTGTAGTACAAATAATAGAATTAAGTATTAATTAACTCACCACATCAATTTTTAATGATGATTGAGATACTGCTGCACTTGGTTTTTTTATTAAAAATTTATCCATGACGAAAAGTAGTATGAGAATAGACAAAAGACAAATTAATTGACAAATGAATTGACAAAATTTAAATTTATCACAGTATCACACAACCAAAAATAACAGATAACAACAGTCTCATTTTTGAAAATCGTGATATAAATTATAAGCAAACAGTTTTATCAAATATCGTGATTATACATTGAACGCTAGTTTCATCTACAATAATTAATTGCACCGGCCGGCGACCTGCACTGGTATCTTAAGCCGTAGTCAGAACCACAGTGTTGTTGAAAACCCGTGATAGTATTATTTAAAAGATAATATTATTATTATTATTATTATTATCAAATCGGTTTCTGGACGAGTTCTTAAAATATTCAGAAATGTTTTGCTTTTAAATTATACATATTTTTATAGATAGGTACTAGATTAATGAAATATCCAATAATATAAATAATACATTTATTAGATGTGGAAAGGCAATGGGGGGGGTTTAAACACCCAAAACCCCCCCCTGGCTACGCCACTGCTTGGGCCGATTAAAAATTATTATAATGAAATCTATAATAGCTATTAACAAAAATTCTTTAATGTTCGAAAATAAATGAAAACATAAAATTCTAATTATCAACGGTTTATTTATTGAGTGTGTTTTTGATCAAAAATTTATTTTGATGACTAAATAATCACGAGTAACCTATTTAACCAGTGAAATTAAAAATCATTTATTATTTCTATCACTTGGAACATGTACTTAACCCTATTAATTATGAAATGTTCCTAATCAGGAGACTCCTGGAATAATAGAATTCGATGATCATTTAGTGTATATAGCCGTATACTAATGTACACAAATTCCACATTCACTGCACCATCACTATTTAAATCGTTCAAAATTATTCTAATTATTTGTTTATTTCATTAAATATAAATATATAATATATATCAGGGGTGGCCAACATGAACACTTCGCGAAACATATGGATATATGCAATGACGCCAACAGCCAAAATATTTAAGGATACATTTTATATGATTTGATGATTTTTTATAAATGTAAGTATACCTAAAAAATTTAAATTCATAACAATAATAATGAGAAAATTTTGATTTTATAAATTAGCCGCGAACCGCATCTGACTATGACGAGAACCATATGTGACTCGCGAGCCGCAAGTTGACCACCCTCAATATATGCATATAAATCTATATCTACTTGTACTTCTCTCTTATATCCGGTTTTATTGTAAATAATCTAAAGATTTGAAAAGTATACGACGTTACCTATCACCACAAAACGCAGTTTGGTTAGACCTTAAAGACAAATAAAAAACAAGAAGGCGTCTGCATCCAGTATGATAATTTTAATAAAGCATACTTGTTTGAAGTATTTGATAAATACCCATTGTAAGTATTTAAACAATAAATTATATTATTAATATTAAATTATTATTTCATATTATTCTAGTATATTATTTAATTTATTTTTTGCGCGAGTAAATATTCAATTTCCAACCACTTTAAATTCAAATAGCACCACATATGCTTGCCTCTGATATTTCAGCTGGACCATAGAACGACAGATGGTGAAATATACGATATTGCAATAAGAAATGTTGAGAATGTTAACTTAAGTGATAAGGAAGGTAGTTTTTATTTTTATATACTATAGAAATAATTTAGATTTAAGTTATATTTAAATCCTGATACTACAACGATTACGATAGGTAACAAACATATACATAAAGAAAATACTTTATTGTTACAAAATAAAAAATAGTTTCGTATAGTCGTACATAATTTAATTTATGCACTAAAATTCTAAGAATCGATTCATGTTTTATGATATACCATGTGATATTATATTAAAAATTTGATAATATATTAATATATATATATATATAATTATTATACTTCTCTTTTCAGTTTAGTGAAATAATTAAATTAGGTACTTATTTTTTTTTCAAAAAATGAACTCAATTAACTTAAATTTAAAACTTGAAATCATCGTATAATAGAAATGTTTTGGAAAATAAGTCATATTATCATAATATCATAGGATATGTTTGGTTAAATTATTTATTTTTTTCATGAATATTAACTACTTAGTTTAAATATAATTTAATTTTAATATTTTTAAAATATTGTGAAAATATTTGAAAACGTAGTCGTTAACCGTTTTCATTTATGTCGTTTTTGTGTAATCATTTACAAATGTGTGTATTAATATTAGTGGTATACAATGTGACATAGTTTAAGAGGGACGAGTATTGTATATAAACATCTCATTATTTATTTTATTTGAATTTTATTATGATATTATTGTTATTTATAGATACATTTTTAATATCCGAGTTAAACATTGATATAGTGTTTTTAAGAAAAAAATATTAAGTACCTATTTAATTTTATATTATCTAAGTAGTATTATTACGTGGATTATATTCGTCTCGGTTATTGTATTTATACATATTAATTTATAAAGTGTTATTATATCATTTATATCTCTGCACGATATGAAAAAATATATTTAAATTGAACCTTCACAATGAAATAGTAGTAATGTGGCATTCGTCAATTTCTATTGATTATTGATAAAAAAAAAAAAAAAAATTTAAAAAAAATAGTATTCAACAATATTTAAGCATAAGAAGAGATGACCGTGTTAAATAAATCGCCCTTTATGGACTTCTGTAAAAAATATATAATTGTTAGAACCTTGGTTGAGTACGTTACGCCATTCGTGATCAGAGTTTATCTTAAATACGATTATATATTATATTGGTACTATTTTGGAAGCACCACTAACACCTATACATTTGAAATACTTTGTTTACAAATTGAGATCTTTTCAATTATAATTTTTGACAAGCTTAAGAAGATGCTAATCACTTGTAATTTGTAGTATGAATCAAGATGGGATGATTGAATATACTATAGCTGTTACTAGTAAATTGCCAAATTCTTTTGGAAAAACATTCTTGGAGAATATTATTTACACCTAAGCGTAATAGTTATTTTTAGATAAAATAAGTTTTTCTGTGAATTTTTTGTTAGAAAAACATTTAGAATGTAAGCGATTGACATATTTATAGCAGTGCAGACTATTGGCAATACATGGTTTCATTTGTCCCGGACAACGTCCTTTTAAAACACTGTAGGTACATCTACTACATGCATTTCGTGCGTGTGCAAAATTTGTAGGGGAAACCAGGGTAATCCGTACGAGAGGCAAAACCGTATGATAAAGTTTCTTTAACATGCCTAAAGTCAAGATAAAAAAAAATGATTTATATTATTTATCCATGACCGTATGTTTATAAATTGTTATCGACAACTATTAACCTCATTTATAATAAATTCCCGCTCAAAAATTCCATTAATCATTATCATAAAATATGACGTATAATCACTATTTTCTTTTTCATTATAATTAGAGCTAGGATTTTGATGATTTTTGCATTTTTTTTTTTTCTTAAGTACTATACAGTTCTAACTAAAAACTAAATTTGTTTCGTTATATAACAATTTAGAATGTATAATTTTTATTTTCATTGTGCATTTTTTGTGTTAAATGCATTTTATTGCATTTTTAAAGTCATTTTTACAAAAATGTTACATTAATTTTGTGTATTCAAACTCATTTTTGATTATTTTAAGCTGTTTTTAACATATGTCATATAGGTAATCTTAACTATTCACTCTAGTCCATTGATATTGAAAAAGTAATATAATTAATTTTCAACTCAAATCTAAATATATTTGTTTAATTTACTTCTTAAATTTTTTTTTATCTATTTTATGTGATATAAAATGAATAAATAATAATTATTTTGAATTTAATTTCTTTTTTTTGTTCATTTAAGAGCATTTTTTTGGTAATTTTTAAGTTCATTATTTAGAGTTTTTAAGTAATTTTTGCATTTTTGTGTATTTTTTAGGTTATTAAAATCCTAGATCTAATTATAATCAATAATGATGTAAAAGAACACTATGTCCAATTACGAAGAAGTAAGTAAGTACAGATTATTTAATGATATCGTTTTAAGAAATATTGCTTATAATTTTTACTTAATTAGTAATCACTGTTAATTTAAAACCATTAAAAGCGTATTCCATAATATTATGTAAGCTTATAGTTTGTAAGAAAGTGATACCAAACATTATGCAAGCTGTCTACAATGATAATAAGTTAAAAATAAATATTTATCAATACTAAATATCAGTTAAGCATAACACTTTAACAATCACTTTAACAGTACTTAAAATAAATCTCTACTCCGTATCCCTCACCCTGCTACACGAGAACACCAACATAATTATTTTATAAAAGATAAATTTATTAATAGTAATTTGTTATTAAAATATTTTTGTTGACGGTATTGTGTATCAGCAATTATATTTCTACTATTTTAAATCATTAAATCTTATCCCAAGACTAATACGATTTTACGCCACTTATGGGATAAAGTCGTATTTTCAAGTTCTTTCAAAATTTGAATTTATTTTTAAATTAAAGTTAAAAAATTTAAAAAATGTTTAAATATTATTTAAGAATATTTATATCATATAATTACGAAATCAAATTTCAAATTCTTAAAATGCTGTTAGTTCTAACTATAACGCTTAGAAGTTAGTAGTACGGTTTTGCCTCGCTTTCTCCTACATTAAATCGCAGAAGTTTTCAGAGGAGTAAACAGAGGGCCGATTTTGAAGGGTGGTTAATTCTTTTTTAAGTTTTACCGATTGTATCTTATCGTTTAGGTAGTTTGTCGATTTTTTTTTCTTTCCGTCATATTATATTTTGTAATCTAACGCCTCAATTCATAAATTGTAATATTATCCCATAAATCTTATCAGCATAAATACCTAAGACGTATTAAACATCGAGTGTGTTCAATCTCGACCAACAGGTGTGATGTTAAAGGATTAAAGAATTTTGTTAATCACAATCTAGGAAAATACCCGTTTTTCAAACGTTATTTTTTTTTAATTTTTTTTTTTGACACGACCAAGTCAATTTCGCTATAAACATTGTTTTTTTAAAACTAACACTTT